GTTTCCATTTCTTTCTGCTTTATGGAATATAAAGGATCTTCTTGTATTTTTCTAGCCAAATCGACTTGTTCGTTACCAGAGAAAAATCGCAGTGATGGTGGAATGCATTCTAATAAATAAAAGATATATCTCAGTAAGTATTAAATATTTATATAAAATATAAACATCTAACGAATCTATGTATATACAAGTGGTGCACCCATATACACAGAAAATATCTCAATATTCAATAATGAAAAATGGCAAATTTTATAACTTAATTTTTAGAAACTTTCTTGCTATTTTAACTTGAAAATTTTGAAACATTATATTATAGGATGAGATGTAATTGTGTAGTACAGAGAACTCAGTCCGATGATCTTAATCTTGATATATATATATATATATATATTGGTCAAGATCATCCTGAGTGATCTCCAACAAGTTTTAATCGTTGCTTGTTATTCGTTAAAAAGTTATTAACAAAACAATCCTTATACATAGAATATAATTTTTTAATATAAAGTATATATATTTGATTATATATTCTACATATATACTCTGCTATATAATTTATATTTTTTTATATTAAAATGGGATAAAGCAAGATCCATCCGATACATCTGTTTAGGAGCGTTTGATTTTTCATATAAAACGACTTAATTATTAACAAAGGAAGATGTCAAAAATTTCTATAGAAAATTTTCTAACACATTGCAAGTCAAAACAGATGTCATTCAAAAGGTCTCGATGAATAGATCAAAGTTTTCAATGGGCACAAAGGCCATTGAAAATTTGTTAAGTGCGTCCTTCAGTTATGGGTCATAAGAGGCTCTTTTGTAAATAAAAAGTTATCAGATCTTTTTGCAACCTCTGCGTGATACTTGAAAGCTCTGACGAAAATCCGACTTCATTTTATTTTTTATTTTTATTTTTACTTTTATTTTTTATACATATAGTCTATATGTATTGACTAACTCTCTCTCTCCCTAAACTTTTATGATTTATAAATTCGTGAAGGACACACTTTCTACCCATTGTACCTTCGCTCTATTCATCGAGACCTTTCGAATGATACTTATTTTTACTTGCGTTAGGCAATTTTTAGCATCCTCCTTCGTCGTTTCTCATGAAAAATCGCTACTAGGCGGAGGGGAAGGGGGAGTGTAAGATAAACCTTGCTCGCGTAGGAAGTCATTACAAAATGGAGACAACAGGAGAGAATATGAGGTAGTTCCAAATTGCATGTAGCAAAAATAACACGATAATTTAAAAATTTTTTGTTAATAACTTTTTAACGAATAATAAGCGAAAATCTATTGAAGATCACAGGATTGTGACCTTGACAACATATATCAATATAATTTAATTTCTAGTATTACGGTGACCATATTTTCTTTATTACTTCGGTAAAAGTTTCACCGAAATTATTCCACATTCAGGGACATTTCAGCGAAATTACTGAAAATTTACTGAAATTTCACTGAATTTTTCAACATACTAAAAAATCGCTGAAATTAAACTAAAATTTTTCTGAAATGATGAAATTTCGTTTAAGTATTCCAAAATGTCGAATAATTTCAGTGAAATTTTTTCTCAGAATATAAAGGATATAATCCTTTCTTTTTTCTAAATCTCTGTATTTTTCCCACCTATTATAAAGAGTCATAGCATATGGTCAACACATGGTATTTTAGGCGACTGTCCTTTAAACCAGAAACACACTCATAAATGTAAGGCAGTAAAACAGGAAAGGCATCGGTCAATAATAGTAGAAAAAGCAAATAAGCAAAATTAGCCAATTCACTTGTGCTTTACTTAGGAGTTCTCAGGTATATGTCGCAAGAAAATTTTAGAAACTAATATGTGGAATTCTGAGTAAATTAAAGAAATACTTAGGAATAAAGTTTTAAAATTTTCAAGTTTATTCTCTACTTTCTCTAAGAAAATAAGAGAATCTCATAAATACATCTAAAAACTAAATATTCAATTCTATGTGTATCTAATAAATTTTCCAAATAAATTTTTTTAAAAATAGAGCTCCGTATAAAAAAAAATTCCCTTTTAACATAGATTATCCTCTATTGTATAAATATGTATAAACTTACCATATTCAACATGATTTTTTGGCATTCTATTCATCTCTGAATCTTTTTCTGCCTGTTGCATTTGCTCAAAAGCCTTGTCAACTGGTCTTCCTAACAAATACTCCTCTCTGTTAACCATTTGATTTGGCCCTTTATACATCCAGTCTAATTTCATATCATCCTTTTTCTCTATTACACCTTGTTCTATAGCATATTTTTTTATGTCTTCCAAATCTTTCTCCATTTCAATTTCCTTTTTCAACTCTGCTATCCGCTTATTCTCTTGATCATTTTGCTGTTCTGCCTTCCTTACTTTCTCAATGTTCTTCATGGTAGATGGATGCCATGACTTTTTCAAATTCTATGAAAATTTACATGTGTATTAGAAAATATGGCAAATTTCACGCTTTGTATCATTTTATAATTAATTTTTTAATTATAACACACTTAATTATAACACACACTTACCAAGTCTCCACCTCCCATCGTGCTTATAACAATGATAAAATGTTCACAGTAAGATAATACTGCTACGTAATATATTAATACGTAGTTATAATTATCAAGAAAAATTCGCTTTCGATGTGAAAAGACACATACAAATATTATTCTCAGTTTATATTCACAATTTTCACCATCACTTAATTTTCTCTTCCGTTTCGTTCTCTTCAGCGAATCTTTTTGTAGGTTAAGCAAGGTAGCGTCATATCGCGTCGGCAGGCAACAGCGAACAACCACAAAGACGCGCTATGCTAGCAGTTCAGATTTAGTCAGTGACGCCATTGACGTCAGCGATTTCCCTCTCTACTCGCTTTTGACAAAGGCAAGAAGGACAGAACGTTGAAGGGAAGAAGGACAGAACGAGTAGAGGGGGAAAATCGCTCGTACACCAGCAGTCTGGATCCCAATCAGTAATGCGCGTCAGGTTAGAACACAATAGCGTCTTAGCCCCTCTACTTTCCTCTACTTTCTCCCAAACAATGCGTACGAGACGTCGAGAAAATTCTTTGTAGTGCATTCTCTCGCTGTTTCGTTCGTTTGTTGGAAAGTGGGGGAGGGAAGGGGGGCGGTTAAACAAACGCTATGTTTGTTGGGTCACATATTCCTATATGTTCCTACTATAGTTCCTATTCACTTTAACGTCTCTATAACAAGCACGTTTGAGTAGGAGCTATGGTTGGAGGAACTAAGAACATGTTAGAGCATGCGACGCGAACAAATCTGCTTGCTTAAGAGTTTCGGGATCGAAAATCACAGCAGGGAAAGATTATGGAGACACCACTTAAAATAAGTGTGAACTATAAATTCATATTTTTATCATCAAAATACAGAAAAAATTGCATTATAATTATAATATGTATAATCGATGGTATCGCTTTCAGGATTGTATAAAACAATTATTTTTAAAGAAGCTCAGAATTAAGGCAGAAAAGAGACTAATTTTGAGTAAAGGCCTTCTAAAGAAGTGTCAACAAGTCTCCAATTTGAACGCTATCAGTGCTTCTCTCCTTGTTTTATGTTTAATGAATGATGATTATGAGCATTTATAGCTTGAGCATCCAAATTGAACGTAACTGAAATTATATGATTAAAATAAATAAAACTAAAATGCAAATATTTAGAATTATAAAATACAGATTTTACTTAACACTATAATAAAATACATTGAGGATTTTATGTTTCTGTTTTTATATCTGTTTTTATATCTGTAATTTATATTAAACATATTTTTACATCAATTTGTGTACGACGGCTTTAACATGCATCAATGCGCACTAAGTGCATCCAATCAAATTCGTTATAATTTATACAATACCCAATTAATAAGCTAACGTCATTTATCGTTATTCTGACGTTGAAATGGTATTTACGTGTGATGATATTTGACGTCAATTGTCGATAAATATCTACTTGCTACTTAGCTTATATGGTACATACATATTTTAATTTTAACATAATGTGAACATGTTAAAAAATAGACTAAAAGCTCATCTATGTCATATGGCTATGTTATAGAATAGATATGATGTTTGAAAAAACTTCATCAAGTATAGATACAGTTTTAGATATAAATTTATAACTTTTTAAAGTGCACGAATATTTTACACTGGTCAAAAATAGTTATTTATATGATTAATAATGATTAACAATTATTTTAACAATTAATGATTTTCTTATTAAATATTGTAAGCGTATGTATGTACAACATAGAGATGTCATTAATATCATTCTACTTGAAATTTATAATTGTTTCCTTTACGTATATAACTTCGATCGGATAGATTATATTATCTGTTTGTGTAATTGTTAAATTCGCCAATATTAGCCACATTTAACAGTTTACTTTGCAATTGTTAGAAATTTACTTTGTTGAGACGGAACTATTCCTCTAAATCTAAAAGTATAATCTAATCAGCGCAAAATTATTTATTATATAGAACCTGTCTACCGAAAAGTACTTTGAAATTTCTGATTATTAAAATTTTGCTAATAGTCAGTAATTATATACATCAGTAATTATAAATAAATATATCAAATATTCCGAATACCGTTTGTTTAAAATAAAATTTACATTACTATCACATATTTATATATTATTAATCTAAAAATTTTTATATTTTTTGTTAAAATTAAATTCGATTTTCTTGTCAATCGACGTTAGCGAGTAACAAATGCATTCTCATAATCATTTAATTTTCGTTTATTCCTGTTTGTTATATGTAATATGAAATTGTTCTGGACGCGCCACGCCATATTCGCCGCGCGTCTTCGGCATCAACTCTCATTGATCTTCAGAACGCGTTTGCGCGCGTCGACCATCAAGCGGCTGTATAACAATTGTACGCGCTACGGCCAATGAGGGGTCGCGATTTTCTGGTTGCGTTGAAGTCTCGTGGCCGCCCGCTGTCGCCGGTGTCGCGTCCCATCGTTGTTTTCTTTCATAAATTCTTCTCCCTAGTTCGGTGCGAGCGCCGTTCATGGTAGACATTGTTATCGTTGTCGTCGTCATCAGCATCATCATTGTCGTCTCTGTTGACGCCGCTACTATCGCTACTGCTGCTGTCAGCGTCACTGTCGTCGTTGCTAGCGAGATTACCAGAGAAGTTCAACGTTACGATCCCGACCATCGACGCTTATCATCACCGCAGCAACAGCGGTGAAAGCAGTCCTTACCCTCTCTCTTTCTCTTTCTCTCTCTTTCTCTCTTCCTTTCCTCCCCTTCTCACCCCTCCTTTTTCTTTCTCGCCACTATGATTCCGTACTCCACGTGTTTGTCTTTCGGGGGCCATCGTGACACCCGCCACTGGGTAATCATGTATGACGAAATCAATTCCTACTCGGTGAGTCGTTTAAATATCATGCAGCACAAACACCCAAAAATACATCCGCAGATACCTATTTTACATTCATGTTTAAAGATATTTTTATTTAAACCTGCTTGAAAATGTTATATGCATATATGTTTACAAATTACATTTTCGGTTTTTGACGAATAACTCAACTTGGAGAAATCGAATGTCATGAATGAATTGTTTGTTCATGTACTTATGTGTATGTATGAAATATTAAAAAAAAAAAGATTAAGATTTAGAAAAAGTTACGAATGACACTTGTCATTATTGAGCAAAAAATTCTTAAAAAAAAAACTAACAAAGAGGCTTGTAAATAACTTCTCCTATCCATTTTGATGAATTTTTGAAAATATAGCATAAATCAAAATAAAGGACAATTGTGCGTTAAATTTTTTGAAAATGTTATATTTATTGAAATATTTACTATTTTTGAAAATTTGAAATTTTTACAATCAATATAAAGCTTATATTCAAAGAAAAATCGCCGTGATCCTAGTCATAAATATCCAATACAAATTTATCTCTTCTTGAAATATGTTATTAAGCATCAAAAGCTAAGCGTCATAAGACATAGTAGTGTCTCGCATTAAATTAACGAAATTAGCGTAGAGTCGCAGCGAGATATAATTAATATAATTAATTATACATATATATGTATACATTTACATGAGATAAGTAGTTCTAACATTTTCATATTTCAGCAACGGCTAAACCAATTCAGTTTTAACTAATTTCAATTGATAGTCTCAATAGATAGTTGTAAATTATATAAGGAAAGGAAATTTTTAATTTTCCGTTTTATGAACAGAGATGTCATAATGCTAAATTTAAACATGTAAATTAAAAAAAAATGTCTTTGTCATTAAATAAATTTTTATTTGACTTTTCTTTTCTTCACATCAGGAAGCAATATCAAGCACTAACAGTGCTCATAGTATCCGTTTTTTGATAGATTTCTTTAATTTTAATATATCATTCGAATAACGATAATTGTATTTGCTCGAATTCCACAGTAAACAATATCAATGTTTTTTCGGATTCTCTATTCGCATATTGTTTGCATCTTTGCTTTCTCTCTCTTCAACGTCAGAATATATATTTATCTCATTTTAAGTGCAAAAGTTTTTTCAGAATTTCAAGCAACACGAAAATATAAGGTCTTTTTTCTGTGACTGAACTAGTAACACTTTTGAAACTTAAAATAAGATAGTTGTATGCTTGAAATTTAGCGAAAGCAAGAAAGAGAATTCTAACGCAGTCTAGTGCAGGAATATAAAACATCTGATATTGCACTTCTCGATCCGCTTCTGATCTTTCGATTCCGCTGTATTTCGGAAGTCGCACACGGCGAGAATTTCCATACTTCTTTCCATTATCACTTTATGACATTTTGCATTGATATTTCATCAATCGTATCATTCAAATAAAAAAAAAAAATTGCGAAATACTTTCCATTCCACCGTGAATTCGGAATAACGATAAATATCTATCTTTCTGATGACTAACTCACCATGTGCTTTTATGTTACATTCGTTGCACTTCATCTATCAAGCATGTGTTCAATGGACTGATAACCTATTATGATATATCGGTTAGAAGAATTGCTAGAATGAAAACGAAAATTGAAAAACGAATGACTTATTGAGAAACGAAGACAAAAGACGCGGGCTTGTTTACTTTTTCGCTTCTCGTCTGTGAGCATGCGCGAAGATCTTTAAATCCCGCCAAATTTAAGTGCGAGAACTATTTATTAAAAATTATTAAGGTAACAATTTTCTAATTCGCAAATTTGCAATATCTACTTTAAGGATTTATACTGATTATGAGTATCAGTGATGAAGGAATTGCTACAGTTTTATTATATCACAAGAAAAGATAGAAATATATTCCAATCTCTTATACTTACGGAATACTTAGCGGAATTACATTAATTGACATCACGGAAAAGAAACTTTTAACTATTATGTACTTAGACAACGAAATGTTTCAGTATGTTTATATGGTTAAAGATTTAAAATATTCTCTAATCATAGATCATTAACTTTGCTTTTTAACATTAAAACTTTGCTTTTCTGTTTAATGTGATGAATATGAAATTTTACATAAAATAGAAAGTAAAATACAATACAGATATTCTTTTTAGAAATACGAATATCGATTCTATAAATTGAAGCTTTAAATAACAAATCTTAATAAGTATAAATGATTTATTCTTATAACATGTTAATATAACTCATGAAAAATAGATTATACTATAGATTACATTTACATAACACTCTTAATCGAGTTCATGAAACTGGCCAATCACAGTCGTTCTATTTTTCCGAGAAACAGCTGATTGGCCAATTTCATAACTACAGATGTTATTCAACCCGATCATACACTGGCCTTTCATCGATATAAAAAAAGGATTATTATTAAAAAAATTTTTCTCCAAAAATTGAAATTATTTTATTTAAATCTTTGCGAAAAAGGATTATTAAATCTATAATAAATCTATAATAAATTGCAATTAGAAAAATAGAGTGCTGAAAAATAATCACGTTCGGTAAGTAAAACAGATGCGACTCCAAGATCCTTCTAAAAAAAAGATCTACATGTTCTTTTTCGATTGATAAGTGAAAACGAATTAAAAATAGTTTCCCAGTAAATAACTTCTACTAGAAATCATGTATAATTAATAATATGATCAAATAATTAATGTGTCAACTGAAAACACTGACAAAATGAATCTATTCTTTCTTAAATTGTGACATCAATACTGTATGAGTTGAAACAGATGAAAGAACCTTATAATCAGATAAGAACAGATGAGAGAAATAGATAGTATTGTATTTTTAAAAAGGACAAATTTGTCTAAATTAATTGTTTTGCGATCTAAGCTTTTTTAAGCTGATTCAAAAACTCGACAATGAATCAACTACTCTCATATGAATCCTCGTACTATTTGTATAATGTGTATTTTTCATAATGTGTTCATAATTTGTATTGTGAACAAATATGATATACTTGTTTAAACATTTTGTTGATTTCTCAAAAAGATTTGATTTAGACATTCATAAGTTTTTGTCTCCTGCCCCCCTTTCCCGTCCCTTTCCCCCCTTCTCTCTCTCTCTCTCTCTCTCTCTCTCTCCCTTCTCTATATTTCTTTATATATACATATATGTGTGTATATATATATGTGTGTATATATATATATATAT